TTGGCAAAACTGGAGACCAGGGGCGGTCTGACCGGCATTGCTCGGCCAGTCTGACCGGTGACCAGGGGCAGTCTGACCGGCCGCATGCCGCCGGTCTGACCGGCGACTCTGAGCGGTCTGAACGGCCCTGTGTGGCCAGTCTGACCGGTTCTGGGCAGAGCGCTGGGGGGCACGTTTCAATCAATATAGTGGCCGAATTAACTGTGAATTCGGACATTTGTGCCCAGGAAGCAGAAGGAGATTGGAGAATTCTTTTGATTCGATATTTGAAAAATCCCACACTTAAGGTTGATCGGAAAATTCTGCGGCAAGCGTTCAAATACACATTGCTTGATGAGGATTTATACCGCCGAAATATAGATGGTGTCTTGTTGAAGTGCTTAGATGAAGATCAATCTAAAGTGGCTATGGGAGAGGTACATGAAGGAATTTGTGGAACTCATCAATCGGCCCACAAGATGAATTGATTGCTTAGGAGAGCGGAGTTCTATTGGCCGAAGATGATTGATGATTGCTTCAAATATTATAGAGGATGTGAAGCTTGTCAACGGTTCGGCAATGTTCAATTGGCGCCTGCCGCCGTGTTGAACCCCATAATCAAACCATGGCCATTCCGATGATGAGCTTTGGATTTCATTGGTCAAATTTATCCTTCGTCATCAAAGGGGCATAGGTTCGTGCTAGTTGCTACGGATTACTTCACCAAGTGAGCCGAAGCCACTTCACCAAGTGGGCCGAAGCCGTGCCTTTGAAGAATATGACTCATACGGAGGTAATTGACTTTATTTTGAAGTATATTATTCATAGATTCGGTATTCCGCAAACAATAACTACGGACCAAGGTGCTTCTTTTATGTCTAAGGAAGTGAAGAGTTTTACCGAATCTTATGGTATTAAATTGTTGAGTTCTTCTACTTACTACGCTCAGGCTAATGGACAAGCCGAGTCGAGTAATAAGACATTGTTGAAGTTAGTGAAAAAGAAGATTGAGGAACACCCAAAGAGGTGGCATGAGGTGCTTTCTGAAGCATTGTGGGCGCATAGGATATCTAAACATGGTGCTACTAAAGTCACTCCTTTTGAGTTGGTTTATGGTCAAGAAGCCATTTTACCGGTGGAGGTAAATCTTGGTTCTCTTCGTTATATCAAGCAAAATGATTTGTCAAGTGAAGATTACAAGACGTTGATGGGAGATAATCTTGATGAAGTCATCGACAAGCGCTTGAAGGCATTGGAAGAGATAGAGAAAGAGAAGAAGAGGGTGGCCAAGGCGTACAACAAGAGGGTGAAAGCAAAGTTGTTTCAAGTTGGAGACTTGGTTTGGAAGACAATTTTGCCTTTGGGTACTCGGTCCAAGGAGTTCGGTAAGTGGTCTCCTAGTTGGGAGGGTCCTTATCGAGTGTGCGGCATTGTTCGAGGGAACGCATATTTTTTGGAGACACTTCAAGGGGAGCATTTTCAGCGAGCAATCAACGGGAAATATTTGAAGAAATACTTCCCGAGCGTTTGGCAAGACGCTTAGGAGGTACTATGGCCGGTAATTGGATTATCGTCCTAAGACCAAAACATGTTCTATGCTTTTAGATTCACGTTGTTCATCAAAAAGGCAGGGGGGCATGTGTTTAAACCCAAATTTGGCACCTAGGATTAAAATAGGAAAGATTGCCAAAATTTGGAAGTCTACCGGTTTCCTCCGAGTGGGCCGGTCTGACCGCCGTGTGTTGGGCGGTCAGACCGCCGGTTGAGGGCCGGTCAGACCGGCGGTGTGTGGCCAGTCTGACCGGCAGGTCCGAGTCCGATTGTGTTTTGTCGGGTCTCGAGGTTTCCTTGCTCGGGAAGGCATGTTTCGGGTTTCGTTTGGTTTCTACCTCAAGTTGGACGTGGAGGAGGGCCTGTAGAGGGCAAGACCAACCCCTATATAAGGGACATGACCGGTTCATTGTAAAAAACCAATCTACAATCAATCAATCGAATCGTTTTTTCGTATTGCTTTTAGTTTTCTCTTAGTTTGTCCATCTTTGTCGGTTTGCGCCGTAAACCGTCTGCCGACGCTGCGAGAGTGCGACATCTCTTTGTAGGTTTGTCCTGAAAACCTTTCGTTTTGCCCACGAGATGGGTAGTTATCTAGAAATCGGCTCCGCTAGCCGATTTTGTTATCAAAACCCATCTAGGTTTAGCTCTTTGCTAGATCGAGGTGGTTGGCGACTCTAGGATCACCGCAAGGCTTAAGGTGCTGCGATCGTGCTTGTCAACTTGTCAAAAAAGTTGCCAACAATGATAATCTCAACAGGGCCATGATAGGGACGTTTAGGTAGTCAAGGAAATCCCCTTGCATGTTAGAAATTATACTTGGTCAAATAATAGGGACTCTCTTACTCTTGTCAAATTGGATAGAATGATCTTTTGCTCAGTAGAATGGGAGTCACATTTTCCTAATCATGTCCTACATATTGCTGCAACAGAGGATTAGGATCATCGCCCTTTGCTGCTAGCCATCTACAACATTTGGTATCTCCTAACCAAAGTACTTTTATAAAAGGTTGATTTATCCAAGATAACGTCATGCTTGTGCAACAAACGGCAAAGTTCTTGCAATCTCAAAAGGAGCCAAGAATTGCTCTCAAATTTTACACGTGTAAAGCCTTTCACTCTGCTTTTCGGCCATTTTTACTTGAAGTCTTGCATAGGATTTAGCCAAGTTTAGCGGGATGTTTTAAGTAGGTTGTTGGCTAGGTTTTCTACTCAGGTACTCTTAAATGTACTCACAACGTGTCAATTTCTCACCGGCATGGGCTTCAGCAAGGAGATCTCGTGTCCTTGATGCTCTTCATCTTGGTAACGACTAGGTTTCTCACATGTTGTGTCAGACGGTCCCATGCCCCTTGCTCCTGAATATGTAAGACGTTTAATTGGGCCTTCAAAGCCCATTAGGAGTCTGATGACGAGAAACGCGGCGGCCTGGGAGTTCGGCTTAGTTCCAGTACAGGTCCAAAACGCTTTTAGGTTTAGGGCGTGCCAGTTAGTTTGATCCGATCACCAACAAGAATAAACAAGAAAATCAATCAAATTAGAATACGATAGCCGATCAGCCAGTAAGTCGATGACATATCGTGTGAACCTAGCCGATGCGATCTGACCGAATCGGCTGTGAGGTGTAAGATGAATGAAATTAAGTAAACCTAAAATATGTTCCATATTTTGATGATAATATTTTATAAAAACAATAATTCTAAATTAATAATATGAAAAAAGAAGTTTACGAGAATTTAAGATTAATATATGATACCATCACATACTAAATTTTCAAATGAATGTATACTAAGTTATCCTTAGCATACTAGTTTGTCATATAAAAGATAAAAATTACACATACATCTAGGCTCATAAGAAGCTTGAGCTCGGGCCGACAAAGCTCGTGAACTTGCGCATGGGCTTGGGCTCGGCTCATTAAGAGCTCGATTTGAGCTCGAATCCAGTCCGAAACGAGCCAAGCTCGAGTAGCGCACAAGCCTCGAGCTTTTTTGACAGCCATAATTGTAGTGTTGTTAGTAGTATTAATGTAGTATGTTGTATCGTTTCATGTGGACTCTTAGGTTTGTAGAACTTGGTGGGATAGGATGAGGACCTAGTAGGACAAATCATTGTAGTTTTTAGTATATTTTATTTTTTAAAGTCTAGTTTAGTTAGTTATTATCTTATTTGATAATTGTTGTTGACCTGTTCTGCTCCTGCTTAAGTGATAACAAATGTTTGAACCTTTTGCAGTTTTGAAGCATTATGCTTCGACAAGATAATTGGGGTAAGTGGAGATCTGGAAGATAGTTGAAGACCATGGAGAGCAGGTAATAGTGCGTGAACCATGGGGACTATGTCATAGATGCAAATCGATCAAAACAAGCACCAAATTCCATATATATAGTTTAGAAACACGCTATTGTTCTTTGTTTGGTATATTTGCTTTGACACTCGATTATTGCAGCCCAATGAGAGTGTTGATTGAGAATCTTTAGCTTTTCCTTTTTTACTTCGAAACACCATCATATTTCAAATTTACCTTATTAGATAAGGTGCAATGGTAGCAGCAAAAAAAAAAAAGCTCATGTCATCACATTTGCACACCTCATGTATCTATGATGTCAGTCTAATGGCGAATCCTTAATTGCCACTTGTAAGAGTGGCAAATAGTTAAAATATATGTACTATTTTTTACACAACCTAGCATCTTCAACACTTTCGATGCAACATTGGTCAAGTGATGGCAATCTGTCTACAGCATTTAACAGAACAACATGGTCTGCCAATTTTCCATGGTTCTATTTCATTACAACATAGTTCATCCGGAATAGTAGTATTGCTATGGACAACACATTAGGGTGCCAAAGCAACAAGAATCGATTCAAGACCATTAGAAAGTCAAAAAAACAGTTAGGAGAGAAAAAAATCAAGTAATTAAGTACGACTAGTGTGGTACAAACATGATCAATGGTGATAGCTCCTACATTGAACAAACAAACCATGCGAGCGTTAAATGCAACGTGAGACAAATATTAGTAAGAGAGCAAGGACAAGTTTGGGAGCTTCCTGTAGCTATAGCTACTCCCGAAATCTCGAGCTCCCTAAATAGTTCAGACTTAGTGTTTATAGAATCGAGAAAATAAAATAGTAGCAGAGGCTGGATAACATAGGCAGCACTCAAATAGGTTGTCTATCTGAGCTACTCTACGGCATGGAAAACACGATAGATAACTAGAACATGATTAATTAAGTACCAACTATTGTAAACATGACAAATTGTTTTATTTTTTTAAAATAAACTTCTATACAGAAAATGTTTGGAAAAAAATCATCGTAGTAGTTTAGTTAGTGTGTTCACGATAACCGAGGAAGTAGCCAATTAGAGAATCTCATCAAATGATGCCTTAGCTTCTCTAGATTTTTCACCAAATGGATACTCACTAGCTACTTAGAATCTCTATCTCCACCAAATAGATGGCATAGATAAAATAAGAATAACAGCACTCCAAAATATAGTCGGCACTTAGGTACTTAGACAAGTACGATAAGAACAAATGTAGCATTGCTAAATTATTCAATTAAAATAGATGAGTAAACCAACTCATAAAGTTATCAAAGATTTATTATAGCTAGTGAGCTTGAGCCTTAAACGAGGAAACATATTTAGACAAAATTCTTCATCATATTGCATTTATGCCTCTTGGCAAGAACTTGTTGAATGCAAGGAGTAGATCAGGATACCCATCAAAAAGGATCTTCACACGTTCAATAACAGTATGAGTGTTAATCCTGCATAACCAAAGTTTCAATAAAACTTGTTATCCACATACAACTAGTAACACATGAGAATTTCTTGCTCCAATCTATCCAGTCATGATTTTGTAAGCAACCACCCTATGTTAATGCCTATTACTCACCTGCCCCTGGAGAAATCAATCATGGTGTGTATGAATGCATGGAACTTCTCAGGGTGACGCAAAAATTTATTCTTGATGGTAAGAATGTAATTCATTGCATCTTCTGTCGTCAACTTATGCACCTTCACCGATGTACGCATGGAAGTTTGTGGCTTAATGGACCTTCAATGATAAGAAGATAAATCAAATATAGTACCATTAATACTCGAGAATACAAATTGATAAAGAAAAAAACAGGAAAAATAACTAGAGCCTTTTACTAAGAACAAAGGTCACCGGGAAGCTGAGTTGAAGAATGATGTTAATGGATGTGGAACCTACCGGTCAATATATTTAGTACAAAATAAATCCTACATAACATGCATTTGAAAGAAATTTAAAAGGTATAGTGCCAACACAACACCATGCATATTTAGTTATGATTTTCTCAGTTCAATCCTACCAGCGATTATTTCTTCTCTCTTTGATTTGGGAGGGACGAGATGGTTACAGGTAGGGACGGACCTAGGTTTTGCGGAGATCTGGGCCGGCACATGGCATGTTTGGGCCAAGACCACCATTGGGTCTGTTCGGTTCAGCTGGGCTGTGGCTGCACAGCCACAGCGCTGCAGCTCTCCTAGCATAATCTTGCTTCCTGAGTCCTGTAGCTACAGCGCTTCCGAACTCACCCATTATATGGTGAAAGTTTGCTGGACCTAATGGGCTTTGTTTCCTAGGCTTCGGGCAATGGCATGTGTGTCTTGAGGCTTGGTCTGCCCTTAACACAGGTGGAGCAGGAGCCCAAACCAAGCCCAAAAACTAGATTCGCCACTAGACCTGGGACATGAACCTCAACAAATCTAGTCGACGACTTGGATTGATACCCAATTAATAACAATTTGTAATGTAAATTTTATATTATAACCATATGACACGTGAAAGAGTGAAAAGGTACTAGCCAGCCCACACTATTCCAACCCAATAGCCTTTAGCCCATAAAGTCCAACTACTACCAACTCTCCTCTGCCCTAATTTGTCTCTCACAGTCAGCCTACTCCCCCATCCCACACCGCGCCGCCTCCCCCTCACGCCGCCTCCATTCCTCCCCAACCTCATCTCCTCCATCCTCCCCCTCATGCCATCCGCTTTCCTCCCAAACCTCAACTTCACCATAATGTGCTCCCATTCCCCTCAAATTCAAAATGTATCTCAAACAACAAAGGCGTACAAGAGATAGTCGTAGAGCAAATGAAGGCTAGAAAGTAATGGTGACCATGGTGGAGACTAGAGAACAAGATGACCATTCTAAGAAGAAGGATTTACATCATGCAAATTAAAACCCAAAAGATTTTCAAACACTAAATCAGCAATTCTTCACTCAATTTCACAACTAAGACGAACAAAGAGTAAAACAAGAAGAGGATAACAAGGGATCGTAGGGATTGATCGGTCTGACTACTCACCGTTTGAACCCCATGGTTGTGCCTGCCCTTTGATATGGTCTCTCTCTCCAATGATGGTAATACTCAATGAAGACCTACTAGACTAGCTCACCCTTTATTTGTTAAGGTTGGGCAAGGGAAGGAATGTATATATCCATTGGTAGGATGTGTGCTGACATAGGAAATTGAAGATTTTGAGGGGTTTTCTAGTCTTTACACACTTAGCTTAGATAAATGGCATTACCAAAAACCGGGGTAGCCAAACAACCAAGATTTGCCAACCAACATATTTTTTAAACAACTACACAAAGTTTTCTATAACCCGTAATCTACACAATCGCAATATGTCCCAAAGGGGTATGGATAGATAAGCAATCAGAGTCATAGCCCAGAACTAGCACTTCCAACATAGTTGGAATATTTAGTAGCATGCTTCAAATTTTAAAGGATATGAGATGGGTGAAAACTATCATCATGATAGTTGTTTACAACCTCTTTTGTCATTTTGATACATGGTTATCATAGACCTCTAACTCTAATCCATATCAAGTTGTAAGGGATAATTGTTCCGCCTATGGATATTACATTTAGTATATGTGTTGTATATGGCCATATGTTCTTTTAGTGAACCATATTAACTTTTTATTCTCATTTGGTAGTCATTGCTGGAGCCATGAATTGTTGTTCGTAACAATCTAGCCTCTAGTTAGTTCTTTTATGGCAATTCACTAGTTGGGAAAGTTTGGAATTGATCATGCTCGTTATGTGCTACAAATACTTAGATCTCAACGATGATTCATGGAGAAATGATCACCCAAAGTCCATAACCATATGTAATATCGATATAGCATTGTAGGTTGAAAGAACCTTGATGTCACCTAAGAGTGGTGAATAGGCGTTTAAAGCTTTTACGTAAATGAGGAAGCTAGACTTTTTGGATATTCCAAACTATTTTCGGATATTTCCATATTATTTTTGGATATTCTGAAAATCTCAGATTTACGAGCAAGCTAGTAAAGCAAGCAAAAAAGTGTAGTGGTACAAGTAAGGAAATGATTGCACAAACAACAAGTAAACTACTAGCAGCATCATCAATTAGCTAAGATAGATGAGTGCGCGAGATATATCACCAGGATTCTTGTAAGACGATATGCTCCCGAAGTTCAAATACTTGAGGGGATTCTACTCTCCGTTGAGGAGCTCATAATGAGCCAGGTCTTTTCCAACCCTATCCTTGTGAGGTTGCACAAATGTACTCCTCCTTCCACTAAAGGTATCTCTTCCCATTCGGAGGTGAGATCGTACCTTCACAAACTCCCTCGGCACACCACAAACAAATTGGTGTCTCGAGGTTGACTCCTAGTCGTCTAGGTGTCCTCAACTACCAAGAGTAACAAATGCAACAAAGATTTCTTGGAGATGAATTGAGTGCTCAAAAGATCTTCACGAAGTCAACACCAAGCACTAAAATAAACTCAAATCAACCACTCTCACAAACACATGAAATCCAAGCTTATAGATCGGTGGAGAGGAAGAAGTGAGAAAGCAAGACTCAAAGTGAATCTCAAATCAACACAAGATAAGCAATGGAGCCAACTAGCTTGAGGTTGGAGGGTAGGGACGGCAATTTTACCCACGGGTCTGGGTATCCACGGGTATCTGTGGATACATGGCCCGATGGGCACGGGCATGGGTGTAATATTTTGCCCGTGGCCACGCCCACTCGAGACCTGAGAACGTAGCAGACAGTTGTCGAGTATTATTTTTTACCCGTAGGTAACTCATGCCCGACCCGGTACCTATGTATTAGCTAATTTTTGCCTACCTAGCCATCTCTTAATTCTCACACCCTTTCTCTTGGCTCATTTGGCTCGTTAACTAGGGACACATATATACTCAACTAATAAACCCTAACCTAATTCCCCATTCCCCTCTCCTACCCCCATACCCACAGCGGAGGCCGGCAGTGGCACTGATGCGGGAAGGCGGAATTGGCATAGTCATCATCCTCGTCCTCGTCACATGCAGCCGCTGTGGTGCTCTGCGATGCCATGACCAGCGACGGAGGTGGAGGAGGAGCGGTGGAGGGACGGGAACAAGCTACCATTGAGGAGGAGCCCGTGTTGCTGCCGCCCGTATACGAGGCTCCCCGCGTGGAGGCAGTGCATGGATGCGGTGCTCGCCGGAGGGATCTGGACCGCGACGCGGAGATGGCGAGGCGAGGAGGAAGTGGGATGGAGGTTGGAGGAGAGTACGCTCGTGAGTCGCAGCGGTGGGCATGAGGCAACGGCTCACGGGCACAGTGGGTACTCGTTGGGCATGCCTGTGGTTGACAGGCATGGGCACGGTCACGGGGTTTTGCCCGATAGACTTTACGGGTGTGGGTCGTGCATGGGCACATGGGTCTCGGGCTGGGTATGGATTTGCTCTGCCCGTGCCTGACCTGACTCGTTGCCATCCCTAGGGATGGGGCCTATTTTTGGCCACACCCTCATATCTGCCCGAAAATCACCAGAGAGCAAAATTAACTTTCAGAAATTTCTACCGTGATTTTCAGAAGTTGCTATAGTGTTTTCGCAAGTTTCCAAAAAGTGTAAAAAATTCAGCATGAGCATAGTAGAAAACTGGGCAAATTAGCATGTTGGAAATTCTGAAAATATTTTCGAAAAGAAATCCAAAAATCACCAGATAAATAAACTTTCGGAAATTTCTACTGTGATTTTCTAAAAATTCCGAAATCACCAGAGAGCAAATTTGTTGGTCATATCAATTTTGGAAATTCAGAAAGGAACTTTTGGAAATTTCCAAAAATTCAGCGAGGACGAGGGCGAGGCTGAGGCCGCAAGGGCGTGACCAGCGGTGAGGCAGTGACCACGCCGAGGCAAGTGCCGCTGCCGAGCTAGCAGCTGCCGGCTGGGGCCTGCCTGGATCATCTATTCATCTCTGCATCATCAAGTAATTTGACGAACTAGACTGTCATCTCATCTCTGTTATTAGTCTGTAAAAGTATTTTGATTCTTGAATGATTGATTGGTTGGATTGATTATTGAATCAAATACATATGTGATATGTCTTTTCTTTTGTTTATAAAAGGAAGTTTTTGTTTCCTCAATTGCTTCAATTCCTCATCATGTCTTCCAGCAATAGAAAATATGATTCACTGACTAGATGAAGCAGAATCTCAAAAGGGTGCTTTTGATAGCTTTGTTGTAAGAGAAACTCAGGATGCTACTGTTGCTGACGGTCATGGTGGTGATGTAGAAGAGGTCGAGGTTAATGTTGCCCAAGGTGATGCAGTAGAGGCAAATATTGATGAAGGTGATGTCGATAATATTGCCGATGAAGGTCATGCTGCTAACATTGCCGAAGAAGGTCATGAAACTCATGATGGTAATATTGCCGATGAAGGTAATGATGCTAATATTGCCGATGCCATCAATTGTTCTTTTCATGATGGATGCTAATATTAAAGTTATATAGTTGACTAAAAGTATGCCATGTTTATATGATATTAGATATATGAAATTTCCAAAATTTACGGCCCCAATTATCATTTTATTTAGGGGCCCCAGATTTCTGGAGATGGCCCTGAGAATTTCTCTCTCTAATCTAATCAGTCATGATATTATATGCGGTCATCATGCATTCATTCTTTATGCTTATGGGTCATATGACTCACGTGCGGCTATTAGAAACCCCTCATGATTTGGACGAACCAAGAAGTCTCAGGATGTTATTTGTAAATATTGTAACCTTCTTTTTATATATATTTAATATAGCGCAGTAGGAGCCTCTCCTGCTGTTTCCCGTCAAAAAAAAGTCTCAGGATGTTCTCTTCGTACCCAATGCAGCAGAGGCGAAGCCAGGGGATCTGGAGGAACCCAGGCCTCCCCAGGCCAATAACAACCCTCCCCCACCCCCACCCCCTCTTCTCTTTTTCACATAATAATCATCTTTTTATCACCTAGTGGCCATGTTCAGCTGCTGGTTCGCGGCTGTGGCGCAGCCGGCACCAACAGTGCCGCACGCACGCGGCGCAGTTGCCGTAGCAGGCTTGCTAAACAGGCCCAGAATGTCAAGTGTAAAATTTGATATGGCTATGGTATACTGTTCAACCATGAACTAAACCTTCCATGCTGTAATGTACCTCTACATAATTTCTAAATGAGTAAAATACACGGCCAATCCTTAAAGTTGGAGCGAGGTGTCACTTAGGTCCATGATCTTGAAAAATCAAAATTAGGATCTGTGATCTTGTTTAAGTGACTCATTGAGGTCCAAAGGTCATCTGACCGGGTTGACTGGCTTACATGGCGGACCAGAGTGGTAACATATTTGCATTTCGGTCCCTCCTCCCCGCATCCAATCCAACGGGAGCACCGGCGGGCCTGGGAGGCCGGCGGCAGACGAGCACGGTACCGTCGGCGGGCAGTGGGTGGAGCGGCGGTGGGCAAGCATGGCGGTGGGCTGCGGGGGGAGCGGACGGCGGGAGAGCGCAGTAGCGGGCCTGGGACGCCGGCGGCGGGTGAGCGCAGCATCGGTAGGCGGGCGACGGATGGAACAATGGTGGGCGAGGGCGGCGATGGGCGAACACGACAGCAGTTGGCGGGCAACGGAGGGAGTCAGAGAAGAGCTTGCGAAGCACCGTCGCCATGACCATTGTGGGCGAGCGAGCATCAGGCAGCGGGTGGTGGTGGTAGTCTTGTAGGCATCCTACTCCTGCTACAACTCCATCCACCGTCTCTCCAATTTGCCGCCGCCGCCACGGACAGCGTCTTTGCAGCTAGTGTGCCGGTGGCGCCGCGCCTCACCGATGGCCAGATTTGCCGGTCTCCCTTCCTGCGGGTCGTCGGCGGCAGATTCGCGGGGCGATGCCTCGCCGCCGGAGTGATGGATGCCGAGCTCCGCCTAGTCGCTGGCGCTAGATCCAGCCGCAGCTGGGACGACATCCACCGGTGTGCGCGCCGCCGCCTGGCACGGTGACGTCCACGGCCTTAGTGTGGCCGTTGATGGCTTGCTGCCTTGCCGGAGTGCGCCGAGTCGACGGCCGATGTCCCACCGGAGAAGGTAGAGCTCCTCAAGATGGCGTTCGATGGCCTCGCTGCGCCATTCGCCGTCTTCCTCGCCGACGGCCTCGCTGCGCCGTTTGCCGCTGCCTACCAGCTTAACGCCTCAGCGGTGCCACCTCATCGTCTACTGCAGCTGCCCCGATGTCGAGGGCACCCAGCTCTGCAGCCTCCTTAACGAGCTCTACCACAAGCCCGTCGTGCCCGCTGGCATCTTGCTGCCGCCCGACACTGGCGACGACCGCGACCGCTCGGACATGATGCGGTGGCTCGACAAGCAGCTAGCGAGGTCGGTCGTCTACGTCGCGCTCGGGACAGAGGCGCCGATTACATCGGGTACCGTCCGCGAGCTCGATTCCTCTAGGCGCTACGCAACGCCAGCGAGTGGCTGCCGGAGGGGTACGAGGCGCGGCGTGGTGGAGATGAGGTGAGTCCCGCAGGTGCGCGTGCTGGACCGCCACGTAAGCCTGTCAACCCGGTCACGCGTTCCTGTGTGCACCACACGAAGAAGTGATTGGATCGGACACGGGAAAGCAAAGAGGGGGAGGGGTGCAAAATACAAATATGTTTCCACGCTGGACCGCCACGTAAGACAGTCAACCCGGTCAGAGGTCCTTTGGACCTCAACGAGTCACTTAAACAAGATCATGGAGCATAATGTCGATTTTTCAAAATTGTGGACCTAAGTGACACTTCGCTCCAACTTTAAGGACCGGCCTTGTATTTTACTCTTTCTAAATTATTAGTCAATACTTGCAAGATGGATATATTGTTGCTCATTTGCCTGGATGTTGCTCATTTGCCTTGATCTAGTTTTTTTTATCTGATTGTTTATCTATTTATCTAGACATTTAACTCAGATAATATTATCATCACTTGTGATATGTCTCCCTAGAACCCGTATTGCTGAAAGTGAACAGTAAATCTAAAAAAATAGGTCCTTGAGAAGGTACCTATTTTTTTATAGTAAAATTTTGCTACCTCGAGTTACCTAGTACTTACTTGTAGATAATAAGTTTTACACTAGAAAATGTGATACCTCCTACTACCTTCTGAAGGATGATAAATTATCATTCTTATGATAATGTTTTTTTATGTTGATATACGATATATTACCTTTGGGAAGCCTTAAAATTTGATATTTTTTACTATATTTTCTAATTGTTATGATCACTTGTCAAGTTGCTCCCCTCATGCTTAGATGCTGGCTTCCCCAGTGAATGCACCACTGATGATAGAGGCATGGAGGTTGATGGCTTGACTGGCCTTTCATGATATGGAGATCAATTAAACTGGATACCATTATATCATTAAAGAATACAAAATGGAGAGGAAAAGTACAAGGGAAACTAAAGCCGTTTTACTAAGGACAAAGGTCACTAGATACTAGGTCGTGGAATAGGGTCAAGGGAAGCATGGACCTTACCTGTGAAAATCATATCTGTAACACATTGTGTTTGTATTTCTTTTGGGGAAAATGAGGATGATAACATGAAGTGGAAGAGGTAGCAGAGGACAAAAATGTGGATGATTATTGTAATCTGATGAGCGCCTTGGAAACTTATACCTGACATTTTTGAAGTAAATTTTAGGAAAGCTTGACTGGTACGGTTGAAGTTGCACAAATCACACGTGTTATGTTACACCAGATATTGTGGTAGAGGCTTACAGCCTAGAGTATCACGAAATCATACATTAACCAATCTAACGTGCTAATACTACATAATAAAAATAAATACTTAACTTAGGAGTACTCCCTCCGTCCCAAAATAAGGCAACCTGTGACCACTCCTAATACAACGAATCTAGACAACCCTTCGTCCAGATTCATTGTAGATTAGATGACCAAAGAAGATGCGACCATAAGTTCTCAACTCATCTTCTTCATTTTCCACATGCACGCTTTTTAAATTACTAAACGGTATATGTTTTGCAAAAGGTTTATATAGAAAAGTTACTTTAAAAAATCATATTAATCTAATTTTTATTTTTTATAGTTAATACTTAATTAATCATGTGTTAATCTATTGGTCCATTTTGCATGCGGAGGGGAGGGGTTCCCGACGGAACCAGATCGTCTGACATAGAGCGATCTACGCCAGAGGGACATACAACGCACGCCCGCCGTTCATTTGCTATCTAAAGGTGCCAAGCGAGCAGAGAGTACAGAGTGAAGCGAGACAGCCTCACTTTCGGCCCACTCCAATAAAATCAGCCTGCTAAACCGGAGGAATCGGCGACGCCGCTAATGCTTCTGCATCTCACAGCCGCAGCCCCACCGCCTGTTAGTTGATTAGTTGAGTCTGTTTCTATCTCCATGCATGTGATAATGATCAGTTTAGTTGTGATAAGATAGGATTAGATATTATCTCTTCCTTTATATTTGTTATCACATGCTGGTTTCTCTCCCGAGTTGGCGCGGTTGTTGCCGATCTCGTGGACTTCTTTAATCGCCACGGTGAGGGCTATTCTCACCATATATTAACGCGTAAGCAACGCACTGATCGAAACATGCGATTGTTTCCTGCCAAAATCCTCACATGGTATCAGAGCCTGATCCAATCTAATCTAGCGATGTTACTCGATGGCGTCCTCCTCCTACACCACCAGTAGCGCCAATCCTCTCCAGGGAAGCTTGGTGAGTGAGAAGCTTGGAAAAACCAACCATGCACTTTGGAAGGTGCAGGTCTATGCTGCAATTCACGGCGCGCGTCTACAGGGGAACCTGACTGGCGCAGGAAAGAAGCTAGACGCCGAGATCGCCGTCACAGTTGATGGCAAGACGGAGAAGAAGGCGAATCCGGCATTTGAAGATTGGGAAGCCGTGGATCAACAAGTCCTAGGCTTCCTCCTCACATCTCTTTCAAGAGATGTGCTCATGCAAGTCGCAAGGTGCACAACGGCGGCTGAAGCATGGACAACAATTGATTAGATGTACTCCACCCACACCAGAGCGCGAGCGATCAACACGTACTATGCGCTCACCAACACCAAGAAGGGAAATATGATGGCGCTTGGTGACGAGATGGCGGCAAGCACCGGGCGACCTGTTGAAGAAGAAGAGATGATCATGCACATCATTGCCGGCCTTGGCGAGGGCTACAGCGAGGTCATCTCAGCAATGAGTGCGCGCCCCGAACCAATGACCATGGGAGAATTATACTCTCAGATTGTTAACTTCGAGGGTCGCATGGCACTCTACCGAGGAACCCAGGAGAACGTCGTCAACTTTGCAAGCCGTGGAGGTGGCGGCAATGGAGGAGGTTGCGGTGGCGGCAACTTCAGCCGCGGCAGCAGCGGAGGTGCTCCCCTAGGCGGTTGCGGGCGCGGCAACAATGCCGGAGGTCGCGGGCGTGGACGAGCACCAGGAGCTGCAGATCGCCGACCAACATGCCAAGTCTGCTTCAAGCGAGGCCACACTGCCACAGATTGCTGGTATAGGTATGATGAAGACTATGTTCCTGATAACAAACATGTTGCAGCAGCTGCGGCGGCGAGCTCCTCCCATGGCATCGACACCAACTGGTACATCGACACCGGCGCTACAGATCACATCACCGGTGAGTTGGAAAAACTCACGGTGAAAGACAAGTACAATGGGAATGAGCAGATTCACACCGCCAGCGGAGCAGGTATGGATATAAGCCATGTTGGCAATACTGTTGTTCATACCCCTAATAGTCACAACATTCATCTTAAAAATGTGCTATATGTTCCTCAAGCTCAGAAAAATCTTATATCTATTCATCGTCTAGTTGAGGATAACTCTGCATTTCTTGAACTACATCGTGATTATTTTTTGTCTTAAGGATCTAGCCACCAAGAAAACGCTCCTTAAAGGAAGATCACATTGCAGGCTCTATCCCCTTCCCAAGCCATCCTTGAAGTATGCTTGCAATGCCACCAAGATCTCCTTCCATCGATGGCACAGTCGTCTAGGTCATCCCTCCTCGTCAGTGGTTAGACAGGTGGTCAATAAAAATAATCTCCCATGTTTAGATGTGTCAAATGAGTCAGTTTGTAATGCTTGTCAGCAAGCAAAGAGTCATCAGTTACCATTTCCTGTTTCATCTAGTGTCTCCCAACACCCCCTAGAGCTTGTCTTCTCTAATGTATGGGGTCCTGCTCCAGAGTCTCTAGGGAGAAAGAAGTACTATGTTAGTTTCATTGATGATTTTAGTAAATTTACTTGGATCTATATGCTACAGCATAAGTCTCAAGTCTTTGAAAAGTTTCAGGAGTTTCAGGTTATGGTAGAACGGCTGTTTGACAAGAAAATTCTAGCCATGCAAACTGACTGGGGACGGGAGTACCAAACCCTAAATTCTTTTTTTTTCGAAAATTGGCATAGTTCATCATGTGTCATGTCCTCACACACACCAACAAAATGGGTCTGCTGAAAGAAAACATAGACACATAGTTGAGGTAGGTCTCTCCTTACTATCTCATGCCTCTATGCCATTGAAATTTTGGGATGAAGCCTTTCAGGCAGCCACCTATCTAATTAATCGAGTCCCTAGCAGAGTTAATACTACCCCCTTGGAAAAATTATTTCATCAAAAACCAGATTATTCGGCCCTACGGATTTTTGGTTGTGCATGTTGGCAAAACCTTCGTCCCTATAATAAACACAAGTTGCAATTCCGCTCTACTAGATGCGCCTTTCTCGGTTTTAGCAACATGCACAAAGGTTTCAAGTGTCTTGATATATCCTCAGGCCGTGTATATATTTCCCGTGACGTTGTCTTTGACGAAACGGTGTTTCCCTTCTCCGAACTCGATGCTAATGCAGGAGCTCGTTTTCAGTCTGAATTATCTCTCTTGGCACCTAATATTATTAGTGGGGATGAACAGGAATTCCATTCATGGGCTAATCCACTTGCTAATCTGCCTAATATGTCTCACAATTTGCCTCAAGATGCTGCAACAGATCAAACGGCCACAGAAGATCCAACTGGCGCTGACTCCCATGATGATCCCTGCGCCCGCCCTGACAGATCTGTGCATCGCTCCCCTGCGCGCACGCCTGACGCGTCTCCTGTCCGCCAGTCCAGTACTGCCATGTCGCCACACCAGCATTCGCCTGCTGCTGATCGCATTGTTTTGCAGGGGTCACCGTCGCATCGGGAGACAAGGGGGCAGCAGTCAGGCACAGCGACGGGTGATGGGACGTCGGGCAGTCCTGCAACAGATATTGAAACACCTGACACCAATGACATTGATACTGACGATCTTGATGTCACAGGTATTAATCCCGATGCCGACACTATACTGCCTCATTTTCAACAGTTGGAGATTCAGGAACCACAACAGGTCCATCCCAGAACAAGGCTACAAAGCGGCATTTGCAAGGAAAAGGTATATACCGATGGCACAATTAAATATTCCTGCTTTACTAGTTCAGGTGAACCTAGTGATCATCTAGAGGCTCTAAAGGATAAAAACTGGAGATTAGCCATGGATGCAGAATATGAAGCATTAGTTAAGAATAACACTTGGCACCTAGTTCCACCTCAGAGAGGAACAATGTCATCGGGGTGCAAATGGGTGTATAAAATTAAAAGAAAGGCTGACGGTTCACTAGATAGATACAAAGCTCGTCTAGTAGCTAAGGGATTCAAACAAAGGTATGGTATACATTATGAGGATACCTTTAGTCCGGTAGTAAAATGTAACGCCCCGATTTTCGTTCGGGATTAAAAATCATTAAATAATGCATTTTCTAGAAATTAAATAAAAGTTAAATCAATTTAATCAAGTGAAATAATGGGAGAATTAAAATTTTCCCTTAAAAATCATTGGCCGGGAATATTTTGCAATATTCTTTGTGCCCTAATGTACTCTCCGGAATTTTCCGTGAATTTTCGGAGCTCGAGAAATAGTTTTAATAGCACAAAGATCATTGCATCAATTAAAATAAAAAGAAAACAAATAAAATTTTCCCCTCTTTGTCTTGGGCCGCTTTCGGCCCAAGATCTTCTCCCTCTCCATCCTCTCGGGCCCAGCCGCCCTCCTTTTCCCCTCCTCCCTTCTCTTTGGGCCGTCGGCCCGGCTTGCCCCCTCCTCGCGCAAGTCCGCTTCGCCTCCCTCATCCTCCTCCTCTTCCCGAGCCGCCGACAGGTGGGCCCCACCTGTCGGGGTCACCCCCAACCTCCAGCTCGGGCCAGCAACCGCCATGGCCGCCCGAGCCGTCCAACGTCGCCGCCGTTTCCGCCCACCTCCTCCACCCCCCGCGCGCGCGCTTGTCCGTGGGACCTCGCCGCCCACGTCCGCGCCGTTTCCCCCCACTCTCCCCGCAAAATCCGGCCACGTCGCCGCCTCCCGCGTCTCTCTCTCCCCCACGACGCCGCCCCACTTCCCCTCGAAATCCGCCGCTCCCCGGCCCTCTCCTCGCCCCCTTGAGCTATAAAATCAATCCCCGTGGACTCCTCTTCCTTTTTCCCCGTTTTCCCGAGTACCCCACGCCCTCTACCGAGCTCTCCACGCCGATCCCCTTCGCCGCCGCTCGCCGGCGATCTCCAGCCGCCCGCCACCGCCGCTCCCGTCGCTGCCGCGCTGCGCCGCCGCCACCTATAGCATCACAGTGCCTCGCCGCACCCCGGCATCCACTCCATCTCCCTCCTCCACCGCCGGAACCACCTTCCCATCGCGAGGCCGAGCCACTACCGCCACACACCGCCTTCAGCCGGCCGCTGCCGCCGCGTTAGCCGTCGCCGCACCTCGCCGCTTGCACCACCGGCTTCGCCGTGCCTTGCCGCACCTCGGCCCCCGCTCCGTTTTCCCATTTCATCGCCGGAACCACCTCCCCACCGCGCTCCCTCTCTCCACCACTCACCGACGAGCTCCAGCCGCCGCCAAGCCGCGCCCTGCCACCGTCGGCTTCGCTGCATCGCGTGGTACCCCGGCCGCTCTTCCACCTTCGTTGGAGACCGCCGAATCACCGCCGTCGTCTTCGCCCCGTGGGATGCTGCCGCCTCCCTCTGCTCGAGCCCCATCAGCCGCCTCCTTCGCCGCCATGCCCCTCGGTGAGCTCCGCCGCCTCCCTCTTCGCCTCCTCCGCTCGTTTTCGCCGCTCCCCGGTCGCCCCCTCGCTCGTCGGGCCGACGCCGCCATCACCATTGTCGTCGTCGTCCTTCCCGCGTCGGTGAGCATCTCCCTCCTCCTCCCCTCCCTTTCTTTTTCTCTCTTTGCCCGCCGGCCGCCGCATGCGTGTCGCCGTCGCGCCGCGCCGCGTCGCCGCCTGTGTCGCCGCCGGTGGTCATCCGGCCGCGCGCCGCCGTCTGGTCGGGTTGGTCGGCGAGCCAACCCTCCCCTCCGCCTTGCACCTCTACCGTGGACTCGGTCCACGGTGGGCTAGATCCTTTTGCCCGCTGACGCGTGGGGCCCGCTCTTTTGGTGGACCCGGTCCAAGCCCGCACCTCCTTGACCCGCTGACGTGTTGGGCCCGCCTGTCGGCGCCGGCGCCCCTTGCTGACGTCAGCGAATAACATTTCCTTTGAGAAAATATTTAATAATTGCGCAATAAATCGAGTTTAATTATAGAAATCCATTTAAATGGCTCAAAACTTCTAAAATTCATATCTAATTCATTCGAACTCCGAATTGAGCCATTCAAATTGCAAAATTCATCTAAAATTAAGCTCTACATGTTTGTTTACTTTTTATGTACTGTTTCCTTGGTTTTTATTAGAGTTTTTCCTCGTTTTGCGTGCCAGCGTGTAGTTTCCGTCGTTTCGGAAGTCCGCGGTCGCGAGGAAAAGAGTTCGGAAGATCAAAGTGAAGAAGCAAGGCAAGTCACACATTCTCCTTGAGCATGTTGATCCCAATTTATAAATGTTTTACCGTTTACAAATAAATATGCATGTTTTGCTAATTACATGGGATCAGGGTTTTCCTATCTGCTCGCTTGTGCCATGTTTACTTGATATCTATCCTTTGTCAAACTTGGGTGATAAATTGACTAGCTCGTGTTACTTATGTGACCTAGCTAGAACTATATGCTTAGCCATGCTTAATTACCACTAGCTCAGTCGATGGGATAATTGCAGTATTAGACATTCTAGTATCTTGTTGAGCCGCGTGCTCGAGACATCTGGCCATGTTACATGGTCATAATTATCCAACTAAAATGCGACTGAATGGTGGGCTGTGGGTGCATGGTTTTGTGAGTCGCACCCATGGCAATTAAGGACCGGTTCACGGGAAACCCTGGAAGACTTACAGTGCTTACCACAAGCGGGAATGGGTAACTGCTTGATCTGAAGTATAGCTCGACCCTTTCCTAGGCACCGGTGGCGAGGGTGGGCGTGATGGAGTTGGGTCGGCCGGGGTGTCCGGTTGTCCAGCTGCCGGATTCACCGCGGCGCAAGAGGGGACCGCCCACTGCCTTTTGAGGGGTGGGGGTGAAACCTTAGCGTGGTGTGGATGGTTAGGGGAGGGTTATGCGAAGGGTCTCGTCACAATCACTCGACATGGTGACGTGTGCATCATGGGCACATGATGACGCGGTGACATGTCGGTGGGTTGTGTCTTGTGGGTACAGTTGTGCACCTCTGGCCAGAGTAAAACTATTCGAATAGCCGTGCCCGCGGTTATGGGCGATCGACCAGATTCACCGTGATTAGTCTCACACTTAATAAATCGACCCAATGCACTGTAGTACAGGTGGGTTGGTTGGGCCTGTTCAACGTGGTGTAGCGTTGATCAGTGGAGATTTTAATGTTACTTTAATTACTCAACAGTTTTACTGTTTGCTAAATAAAATGTTTTACAACCGCCTTTATGCAAATAGCCACAAACCCCTCCTTGTATCCCCTTGCACGTCCGCATCGTTGGTGTGGCTTGCTGAGTACGGTGGTTGTACTCAGCCTTGCTATTATTCCCCCTTTTCAGAAGTGTAGTGCTTCTGAGCTGAAGATGGAGTTAGAGGACCAAGGCTCAGACCCCAGTTGAGTTTTGCCTGTGGAGTGGAGCTGAAGCCCCGCTAGGATCGCCTTTTTCCGCTGCTGCTGCTTTTGTTTCGGTGTGAGGACTAAGTGCCTCTTCTGTAAGTATTTTATGCTTTATTTACGTTTGGAGCTGTTTATTACTTGTCGTTTTGTGTACCCTGGCTGGTCCTGGACAGGGATTTAATACACAAAATAGTCTGGAAATTTGGGCTAAATTTCTGGGCGTGACATAAAAGCAGCCACAATTAGGATAATATGCCGTGTCTAGAGGATGGAGTCTTAGACAACTGGATGTTCAGAATGCGTTTCTTCATGGGTATTTAGAAGAGGAGGTGTATATGCAACAACCTCCAGGGTTTGAGGATGTCACCAAACCACACTATATATGCAAACTTGATAAATCTTTGTATGGACTAAAACAAGCCCCAAGAGCCTGGTTTGCTAGACTGAGTCAGAAATTGATTGAACTTGGGTTCAGTGAACCAAAGGCAGACACTTCCTTGTTCTTCCTGAATAAATGGGAGTTCACTATCTTTGTTCTTGTTTATATTGATGATATAATTGTAGCCAGTTCATCAGAGAGGGCAACTGCAGCTTTACTTCAGGATCTAAAGACATATTTTGCCTTGAAAGATCCTGGAGAACTACACTACTTTTCTTGGTATTGAGGTAAGCAAGATACATAATGGTATTATTTTGACACAAGATAAGTATGCTACTGATTTACTAAAGAAAGTAGGCATGATAAATTGCAAACCAGCAGCTACTCCTTTGTCAGTAAGTGAAAAAATGTCTGTTCATGAAGGGTCTCCTTTGGGTCCAAATAATGCTACACAATATAGAAGTATAGTTGGTGCTTTGCAATATTTAACTCACTAGACCTGATATAGCCTTCTCTGTTAACAAAACCTGTCAGTTCCTTCATACCCCCACAACAGTACATTGGGCAGCTGTTAAAAGAATCCTGAGATATATAAAACAATGTACTAAGATGGGCTTGAATATACATAAGTCAGGGTCTACATTGGTCAGTGGATTTTCTGATGCAGATTGGGCTGGCAGTATAGATGACAGAAGGTCAACAGGTGGGTTTGCTATATTTATTGGCTCAAATCTAGCTAGTGTCATGGAATGCTAGGAAACAAACCACAGTGTCAAGGTCTAGTACTGAGTCTGAGTATAAGGCGATAGCTAATGCAATAGCAGAAATTATGTGGGTGCAGACTGCTTGCTG